GAAACGTCTTCAAACTTGGAAACAAAGTCCAGAGGATTGATTTTAACTTTTTTGGTAGCAAAGTTCTTAATTAGATGAAATGACTTTCAGACTGTAGATGAAGGAGAAAAGCACTAAGATGAGCCTCTGACCGTTTGTCTTGTTGCTCAAAGGGCGACGGCAGTGATTATGAACTCCTGAAGCATCAGCTGGCTGATCCAGACATCAAGGTAGAGTCTGAGCTGAACGTAGATCTGTGGTTTTGGCTGAAGTCGGTTCCTCAGCAGGTCTCCTCTCCTCCAACAGGACGCTCAGATCATCAACTGGCTGCAGGAGTTTCGGAGCTGCATGACGCTGCTGACCAAAGACCACGAGCAGCTCATTTACACCGTGCTGGTAAGAGAGCCACGGCCTCCTCTGATTAAATTAAATTCACTGGACTCAGACCTGAACCCTCAGAGTCTAGTAGAGACCAGAACACACTGGAACCTTCTATCACCTGAAGAACATCTGCAGGATTAAAGGACTGTTTAAAAATGGCTTCCTGCAGCGGCGTCTCCACAGGTCTGCCTAGAAATAGATCATAGAGCCGCAGCCGATCTAGAACACTGCTGCCTGCATCCTCACTAGAATTAAGAAAGTAGAGAACATCCAGGGGATCGACAGCCAGACCTCTCAGCTCTACTGGATCAGAACCAAACCAGGAAAAGTAGCTTCTAGTTCTTCTGCTCCAATAATCTGGAATAAACTCCCAGAAATCTGGAAATGAGCAGAAAGCTTCAGTTTCAGGCGTTCAGGAATCCAGTGATGATTTCCTGTGATTCCATCTGAACTGCAGGAAGAGGAAACAGACACTTTGCTCTAATAGGAGCGACGATACTTCATAATGTCATTAGAATAAAAGTATGATGAAGTGGAAGTACTCCTGGAAGTAAAGTGTGTCGGTTGAAGTTTCTTCCTTCCTGGTTTTCCTTCCAGAGGCTTCCGTGGGTCGGCCGCAGCCAGGAGGTGGTGGACGAGTTCCTGGGCTTCCTGGCTAACCTGGTGTCGGCACAGACCGTGTATCTGTGCAGCTGTCTGAAGATGGTGGTGTCCCACTTCACGCCCAGTAAGCGGCTCCCAGCGGTGGGGGGGGGGGGCTGTGGGTGACCTTTAAGGTCAAACTGTTTCTGTGTTTTCCAGAGAGAGTGACGGTTTCTGAGGGAGGGGTGGATATCTCGGATTCAGACGATGAAGAGGAGGGTGAGTTCTGACAGCGTTGTCTTCCTCCTCCTGCTGCTCCTCCAGCTGACCTCCTCTTCTCCTGCAGATCTCCCCAGAAGCTTCGCCCAGAGTCACCAGGCGCTGCAGCTCATCATCAGATACGTTCCCTCGTAGGTTCCTCCTCCTTTGGTTCACTGACCAGCTGCATTCTGAGTTCTCCTCATAACCTTCTGTCCTTATCCTGGTAGGACCAGTCGCTTCCTGATGCCCATTCTCCAGGACAGCTTCCCCTTCATCCAGAAATCCTCCAGAACCCTGGTAGGAGCCTCCTCCAGCTGCTCCCTCCTTACGGCTGATTCTTTGCTCCTAATCGCTGGTGTGTTGATCTTTGAAGGAGTGTTACGTCCACAACCTGCTGAGGCTAACGGTCTACATCCCATCCATCCGACGGGACGTCCTGGAGCTGATCGTTGGGAAGCTTCTGAAACTGGATGTAGGTCCTTCAGAGTCTGCTTCAGGTGTTAGAGGGGAGCATTTACCTGAGGGGGGGGCTAGAAGGAGAATTAGACCCGATCTACAGAGGTTCCAATAAGGAACTTCTGCAAACCCACGATTCTTCTAAACAGCTGGATTTACCTCCATCAGCTCATTAGCATATTAGAAACTGAAATGTTCGTTTACTAAAGCAATTTTATTTTAGATTAACTGAATAATAATCAATACATCAGTCGATAACTAGAACAATCTATAGCTTCATGCTAGTTGCTAACTCTGGTCCTCAGGTTCATGCTTTAGGTGTCTGCTTACTGCCAGACTGCTGACCTAAATGAACAGGTGTTTAGCAGGTTAGCTGGAGGCTAACTGGACTCTAGCTGTCCCTTTGAACATCCCTCCTTTCCCTGAACAGATTAATCCAAAGGAGATCCAGATTAATAATCTGCAGAACCAAACCTGAGATGTTTAGCTTAGCAGCTTTCTCTCCTCCATGCGTTTGGATCGGATCGCGTCAGGACGCCTTCATCCCTCCATAATAGTGAACTTTAAAGCTTTAAACAGTGCAGATATTATTCTGCCAGTTCCAGACGCTCTCATCTAATCTCCTGTACTTGTTTCCATTAGGGGTGAATATTTAATTTTCTGTTATTTTTTCATTCAGTGCTCGTTTATTATGGCGGCTGACTGACTTTATAACTTTAGTTTCTACACAGAAGCTTGGAAAACGTGATTCCCAGTCTGAATATACTGGTGAAGATTCTCAGTCATCCAGGTCAGTCATTCCAAAAAAGTTAAAATCAATCCACTGGACTTTGATTTCAAGTCTGAAGACGTTTCTCTTCCATCCAGGAAGCTTTTTATATTCAAAATGTCAGAAATAGCGTTTAGTTCCAGGTTTTATAGAGCGAACCATCAAAGAATCTTTACTACATCTGAGGCTCACAAATTAAACTCTCTGTTTATCCCAAATCAAGAAGTGAATGAGTGACGATAGAGACGGTCATTATTGCTCCAGATAAAACCGTTCCTTGCATTAAGCAGAACTTAGACAACTTCAGGGGAAAAAAACAGTTTATTTAATGAGGCAATGTCTCTGTAGCAGAACGCAAAACGATTCATAAAAATCGGTTTCTTTCAGCTGCGTAAAATCGCAAAACTCAGAAGTTTAGTTTCTGAAAATGACCTTTAGACGCTCAGCCATGCATGTGGGTCATCATGTTTGCAGCGCTGCAGTAGTTTAGCATTTCCTCCCATTCTGCACAGCCAGCGACGGATCATTAAAATCACAATAAATGGAGATCTGAGGAGGCGCTACTGAAGTCTGATTCCTGCAGGCAGGTTCACCACTATAGTGGATTCAGACCCTGAAATCATGGCTTTTAGTTTCAGTGGCCCCCCCAAGATTTTTACTGGCCCCATCTGCCAGTCTTCTGTCAGTCCCTCAAACCCGCCTATGATCCCGTTTATTTCGTCTCCGTTTAAATGTTGCTGCTTTGTTATTTTTCATGCGTCATATTGTGCATCACTTGGTGACGCTCGTCTGAGATAAACCGTAGTTAACCTCTGGGGATCCGGGCTGTGTTTACTCTGAGGTTTGTCCGTCTGTCCGGTTTGCTGATGAACGTCGTCTGAAGGTTAATCTGTGTTCCAGGTCAGCGTGTCGCGGGCGGACATCGAGGAGCAGGAGGAGAACGCAGCCCAGAAGCTCCCAGAGGACGGCCTCTTTGACATGGTAGCCACCCTGATGGACCTGGGGGGGGCGGAGTCTGAGGCTCTGGGTTTAACGGTTCGTTTGTTTCCGCCAGGATGAGGACATGTCTTTGGATCCGCGGCCGGGCGGCGGTGCCATGGCCCATCCGGTGGCGGAGAGGCTGGACAGCCTGATGGTGGTGCTCCTGGCCTACATCCGAGACGTCTGCCATGTTGACGGTAACCAGAAGGAGCCGTTAGCGGCGGGTTGACGGATCTGGGCCCAATCAGAACCCTCGGTGAAGTGGGCGGGGCCTCAGAACTCTGCTGTTTTGCAGGTTTGTTTCACGCGGATCGGACCAAAGATCTGTACCGAGATCTGCTGAGCGTGTTTGATAAGCTGGTGCTGCCCACCCACGCCTCCAGTCACGTCCAGTACTCCATGTTCTACCTCTGCAGCTTCAAACTGGTGGGTAACTGGGACAGAACCACAGCCGGTAACCAGAACCAGACCTCAGGGTGCGTTTTGTTCTGGTTCCAGGCGCTGGCCGAGGCTTTCCTGGACCACCTGTGGAAGATCCTGCAGAACCCAGCTCAGCCCGCCGTCCTGCGCCAGGCTGCAGCCGGATACCTGGGCAGCTTCCTGGCCCGGGCCAAGTTTGTCCCCGTGCTGTGAGTCCATCGCCTGGTTCTGGGTGGGGGGGTGGGGGTCTGAGCTGGGTCTAAACCTGCTGTCTTATAGGACGGTCAGGGCCTGTCTAGACCTGCTGCTCACCTGGATCCACGCCTACATCGACGGGCAGGACAGCAGCGGCAGGCAGGTGGTCTGTGACATCAGCCTCCACGGGCCGTTCTACGCCGCCTGCCAGGCCGCGTTCTACACGCTGGTCTTCAGACACAGAGCCATGCTGGAGGGCAACATGAAGAAAGGTAGGCGGCGTGCAGCAGGAAGCGGGTCAGAACCAGAACCAGGACCTGATCAGAGTCTCTGTGTCTGCCTCAGGTCTGGAGTATCTGCAGAGTCTGAACCTGGAGCGGGTCGTCATGTCGCAGCTCAACCCGCTCAAAGTCTGCCTGCCCTCTGTCACCAGCATGTTCGCCGCCGTCACCAGGTACCAACGGCTTCTACAAAATCTAAATCCCTTTATCGATCCGCATCAGAGACTCCGCCTCCTCCGTCAGCAGCCCGCTCACCTGCGTCAAGCAGTCTGTCATGTTAATCAATGAGAAACACATCCGCCGTTACTCCTCCGCACGCCACCGTCCACGTACCGCTTCTCCGATCTTCACCGCCAAAACACGGAGCCGAGCTATTTCTGCTCCGGTCCGGCCGGATCAAGATCCGCTTTTCCAATCGCACCAAACAGGAAAAAGAACATCGAGAAGATCCGGTTCGTCTAATTAAAATATAGTAACACCAGATCGGTAATTACTACAAATTAGAGAATAATTCTTATATAATTATAAAAAAACGAAGAGTTTATTTAAAAGATTGGATGCAAACTATTGGTTCAACAGACCAGGAAGCAGATTTCTCATCTCCATCAAATTATTTATTTTATACAGAGAGGCTTAAAAGTTTAATCAAATTTATTCAAAATAACCTTTTTAGTTGAGGAAAGGATGAAGAAACGCTGAGTTTGGAAGCAGAGAAAAAACATAAAAAACTGTTTTAAATGATCCTAGTTTTCCCCGTTAAAAAAAATAAAATGTTTGGGCAGAAACTGAACATATGCAGGATGCTGATGGAGGTTTTTAGAGCGTCATTAAATTAATCGTTCATTTCTGCATGTTTTGCTCATATGAGTTTAATAATAATAATAATGGCGCTGCTCTCCTGGAGCTCTGAGGAAGTCTGAGCTGAGCAGGACGGGAGGAACAACGGAGGCTGAAGGCTTTGCTTTGAGCAGGCGGTCTGGAACGCAGCGGGGCGGAGACGGTGGATGTAGGATTTCAGGGTTAGGGTCTTGCTCAGGGACCCAGAGGCTGTGGGGATCGAAGCAGGTAGCTTCTCAGAGCAGAAGTTTACCGCTCTAACCACTGAGCCAGAGGTCTGCTACCGTTCATATCAAAGAGCCATTTGGCCCAGAGTCCAGATAATGAAACTCCTTTAAGGCCGCAAAATATTACATAACATTTTTACAAATTTAAAAATATATATTTTTATTAAACATCTGCCTAAAGTAATCTGTTGCCATTTTAAATAACCAAAAACTTATTTTGATTCTTTTAAAATAAGGAAAAACATAAAACAATTCATATAAATAAAACATTTTTTTCTGTAGATCGGAGGTCTTCAACAGGGGGTCAGTGACCCCTAGGGGTCCACAGAGGTACTGCATGGGGAAAGGTTTGGTTGATTAGTTTTTTTTTTTTATTTCCCCCCCTGCTATTTTTCCCACTAATTGAAATGTCTTTAAATCCACAAAGTAATCCCTCCCTGGGATTATTAAAGTATTTCTGATTCCTGGTTGATGGGACAGGTGTTGTGAATGAAACGGTGCCCAGCTTCAAAGAGCTCCTGAATGTGAGCATTGATGACTGAAAGACATCTTCTGCCTCCATTTATCTGTTTACTACAGTCTGTTGGATTCATGTTAATGTGGATTTAAAGACATTTCAATTAGTGGAAAAAAATGGCAGGAGGGAATATAAAAAAAAGTTGAATCAAGCAAAACTTCTGCGACCCCCATGCAGTACCTCTGTGGACCCCCTAGGGGTCGCTGGCCCTCTGTTTGAAGACCTCTGCCTTGTATAATTTTTAGCCGCTACTAAGATTCACTGTAGAAGATCCAAAGAGCCCCATGACCCCCGTTGCTAACGGTAACGCTGTGGTTTAACTCCAGGAAGTACCAGGTGGTTTTCTGCTACACCATCATCGAGCGGAACAACAGGCAGGTTCTGCCGGTGGTCCGCAGCTCAGCAGGAGGAGACGGGGTCACCGCCATCACCAACCCTCTGGACAGCTTCTTCCCCTTCGACCCCTACCTGCTCAGACGGTACCAGCCCCCCCCAGGTTCACAGGTCCTTCATAGATCCGCCTCCTTCAGCTCCTGTGGTTCTGGTGTGTTGCAGGTCGGGTCAGCTGATTGAGCCGCTCTATCAGGTCTGGGATGAAGTAGCAGAAACCAGTCTGCTTCCAGCTAGAACGGCCCAGCAGGTGAGAGAGGAGACCTTCCTGTTCTCCACGGTTCCTCCGGTTCTCTCTGCTCCCTCAGATCATCTCTGATCTCCGGCTCCTCGCTTCTGTTTCAGGGCCTGAAGGACGACGAAGACGACTTTCTGAGTGGGGAGACGCCGCACGGCGATGCCATGCTGGGAATGACGCCCAGCTCCTTCGACTCCAACATCTGCAGCCCCAGCGGCGTGGGTTCCCCCCCCATCCCCCACAGGTTTTAATCCGTCACGGTCGGACGGAGCAAACTGGTTTTATTTGGAGTGAGAACGTTGGTTCTGCTGGACGGAGGCGGGCCGCAGATGGACCATAAAACATGTCCGCCTCATGGCGCTGCAGCAGCGCCGTCCCTCTGGAGCTACAGAACCGCAGCAGGACTCTGATGCTGCGGAGAACAAACCCGGTTCAGAAGGTTCCTCCGGTGGTTCTGGTCCGTTGATCATTTGGATCAGAATAAAATCTAATCTTCTGGAATAAAAACTGCAAAAATCCTTGTTTTAGTTTAACGTTTGTAAAAAAAAATACTTTATTAATCCCAAAGAGAAATTAAATGTTTTTTCCAGAAACATTTTCAATCAAGGTTCTGATCCATGTGACTGCTGGCAGCAGGGAGGAACACAGACACTAGGGGGCGATAGAGCTAATGCATTTTCCCCTCCTGATATATTTTTTCTTTTAAGTTTTTAACCAAAAATACTATTTATGAATTTAAAAGCTTTTCAAAGATTTAGATTTTTGCTCCATGAGGCACGTAGCTCCGCCTCCATAGAGCGTTGCCCTAGTGACGGGCCAACTAACCATCCAGGTAACAAACTGCGTCTCCAGGAAAAGTCCGATCAGCAGGAATAAACAATGGATCATTATTTATACCTAAAACTGATGCGTTCGCAGTAATTTAATGAATTTAGAATTAACCAGTGAAAAAAATTTAAGTCTGGGAGCGGCCATCTTTGCCCAAATATAAATAATAATAATAGCCCCCACCATTGAAATTCACCAGAGCTATAGTGAAACTGACAATGCCCACGTGCATGGCAGCTGGATGCTGGAATACATCGGGTAAAAGTGAAAAAAAGAGTTCTTCCACCTTTCTGATTCCTGATCCTCCACGGACGGGTTGGTCGTTGGATCGCCAACTTGAAGAGGGAGGATTTGCCATCGAACTTCTGGCCAGAGAAAAAACCCGTAATATGTAGCCAACATTTGGAAGAAGAATGTTTTCAAGATGACTTGGATAATAGCGCGTTGTGACAAACACCAGATACAGCACTGGGACTTGATCAACAGCCGATTCCGCACCGTGACAATGTCACTAACCAGTAGGTGGCAGTAGTGTTCTTTGACAAACATGGATGCCTCCAGTAAAGCACATTCACATGAAAATTACTCTGAATTAAAAACACTGATCATTTATTGAACAGGATGGAATCATTTCAGATTTAAAGAACTTTCAGAAGTTTGGATTCTGAATATGAGCGACTTTTCCTTTAAAGACTTCCATCAGTTACAGCATAATCTGTTTCCTGCAGCTGATAACTCACATCTACATTCGCTTATATCAGGTTTATTTGTTCAATTGTTTTTTTCAAATAAATGGAAAAATAAAATAAAAAAACTTGATCTAGTTCATAGTTTTTCAGGTTTGTTTATATCAGTAGATTTGATCGTCATCATGTGACGCTGTCTGCGTCTCCATCAGGCGTCCTTTTTCCAACCTGCCACCTAAAATGCTCGACACTGCATCAGTTACTGAAATTAATTCCCAAAAAAAGCCAAAACAAACATGATTGGATCATTTTATTTCAATCAAAAACAGCTTCTCTTAATTATCAGATCAAATGATGAATGTTTTAGTTTTGCATCGTTTATCGTGTCATCGACGCCTCGTTACGCCCCAAACTGGTGATGTCATCAGGAGTCCTGCTGAGGCCTCCTCACATCCGTGAGGTGCAGTCGGCTCTCCTCACCAGGGACCGGCTCACCTCGGCGACAGACCGACAACCTGCACACAGCGGGTCAGCCAACGTTAGCATAAAGTAGCATGGAGGGAAAGGTATTCACACCGTATTCAAAGACGCCACAAACACTGAGGTATATGACGGGGCGTGACCAGAGCAGCGGTCAGCCGCCTCCATGTGGGCGTGGCTTCCTGCTGCAGTAAACTAGAACCATCAATGATTTAGAGATGCTGCAGTGCTGCTGGTGGCCTTCAGGGGGAGCTAGCCCTGAAGGTTACAGGTGTAGCTCCCCCTGGTGGCTAAAAGTTGCACATCGCTGCCTGAATGTCTCTGATACTGTGAGATCAGATGATCTAAAGTTAGAGATGTGGAAACTTCAACAAGGCGACGGTATGAGGAGCTGAGGTGAAGCAGACGTCCAACATGGCGTCCGTCCAGAGGAAGGATGTTTGGACCATCAGAACCTCGCTCACCACGCGTTACCTGATAGAGCCAGCGCCAGGCGGAGCTCCTCCTTCAGAAGCTCCAGCAGCTCGATGACGCCGTCCTCTCCCTGGAGGAGGACAGGAAGTCATTAGGATCCGTCTGCAGGTTCTGATCCAAGAACAACCGTCCCTGGTTGGGTGGGGGGGGGTTACCTGGCAGGCCAGCCCCCACAGCACGGGGCGGCCGATGAAGACGGCCTTAGCTCCCAGAGCCAACGCCTTGAGGACGTCCGTCCCCCTCCTCACTCCTCCGTCCATGTAGACGTCACAGCGCCCCCCCACGGCCATCACCACCTCCTCCAACACGTCCAGCTGCAGACAGAGAGGCGTCAGCGTCTCCCTGGATCTGAATCTGAGAAACCAGCAAAAGTTTTAATCGCTGGACGCCTTAATGAACTTTGACCCCAGAGGGAGGATCTGGACCAATAAAGCAGATGAAAGAAATATTCCACTTTAGAGGCCAAGTAGACTCAGGTTATGGAGCAGCAGGAACGTCCCGGGGGTCACGGCCCCGCCGTCGACTGGTCCAGGGGTCGCGGCCCCGCCATCGACTGGTCCAGGGGTCGCGGCCCCGCCATCGACTGGTCCAGGGGTCGCGGCCCCGCCGTCGACTGGTCCCGGGGGTCGCGGCCCCCCGCCATCGACTGGTCCAGGGGTCGCGGCCCCCCGCCATCGACTGGTTCTGGGTCCAGTTTTCTGGTTCTGTGCTCCTTCAAACCTCAGTGATGCAGAGGAACCGTTTGGAAGCAACCAAAGTCCCACTGACCGTAGCAGGAACACCATCCAGCTGCCGAGCTCCGTGGTTGGACACCAGGATGCCGCTGACCCCGTAGTTCACCGCCTGGACGGCGTCCTGACCTGCAGACAGCTCATGGTCAGTTACTGGTTCCCATTATGCAGACCAGGACCACTCCAGTGGTTCCAGGAGATGTTAACCTTTAACAAGCAGTGAAACCAGTGAAGCTTCATTTTCTCCTGAGTGGAACCAAGATGGCGGCGGCGTGCTGTAGGTCTGGAAAGGATTTCACCTTTTCCACATTTTCTCTACAGCTTTGCTCCAAAATGGATTTGGTCCTTTTCCTTCATCAAAACTTTGTTAAAAAAGGTTTATTTTCTTTATACAAACTGTCTTTGGCATTAATCTAAGGGACATGCAGAAGCTCTACCAAGAAAACTTCTGTTATGTGAGAAACTTATATTAGACTCACAGGAATGAAGTGACCTAAATCCCATTTTTTTTGCCGATATGCGACCTGGATCTGATCTTTTCATGGCGATCTGAACGACACAGATCCTATTTTTTCTAATGCGACCCAATTTATTTATTTATTTTTTATTTTTTCCCGAAAAAATTAAAAACCTGTCACATTTACCTCCAGAGTTACAAAACTCACTCCAGGATTTGAACCCCGGCTCTCCTGCGTTAGAGGCGGAACATTAGCCACCCGACCAGCGCAGTCACATGACCTGGAAGTGCGCATCGTTCGCATATATCTTCTTCCATATATATTTTATTCATTAACAATCTTTATCCTACCTTCACTTCCATTAAGCAGCCTGGTTCTCCAGAACCACCAGGAACCAGAACTGGATCCCCACACATTTTTTTAAGTTCTGGTCCTTGTATAACCAGAGTGCTTATAAAGAAAAGCAGAAACATGGAGGTGGCTCTGTTATGCTCTGGGTTGGGCTGCTGGGCTTCATTGAATCTCTGCAGGGAGGAGCTGAGGTCTGACTGACAGAAGCATGAACCAATCACGGCAGAGCTGGACTCTGAATGCCGGGGACTAAAGATGAGGAACCATGGTTTTATTTTTTACCTCTTAATATCCACCTCATTGCAGCGAAACTCGCCTATTCTGTAAATCCAAATGGAACAGAAAATGACTGGTGAACTGGAAGCCCAAATTACATTCATGATACGTCATTTGAAAGCTAACAGCTTCTATTTTCTGATATACATGAATATTGGGTGAGTAAAACACCTAAGCTGTATCAGTTCAAACATGTTTTTTTTTAATTCTCTGATTTCTGAAATCAGCAGTAATAAATCCCTGCTTGCTTGGTCAGGCTACATTTGGACATGCTGCTTTGCTTTGCTGCTCGCTGTGTCCATAAAATGAACTTGGTGGATTGAGGAGAATCTAATCTTTCCAGCGATGTCTAACATCTAAATTGGTAAACATTTTACTGCTGGAATTTTCATGCGTTCTGAGTTATTAGATATAAATGCTTTAAAACGGGATTTTGAGGTTAAATCATTTGGTGGAAAAGTAAACGTCTGACTTCTCAGGGAAGCTTTATCATTTTTCTGGCCAATTGTTTACCTTTAAAATCTACCTGGAGCTTCTGGGCTGGATGACCTTTGACCTCTCTGAGCCGTTCCTCCATGATTTCTCAGACTGGTTCAAATCTGCTCCTCTTAAACCCGCCGTACACTGCGTGATTTTCAGGGCGATTTTCCAGGCACCCTGCTCTCATGTTCTAGATGTTTCCCAGCTTCCACACACCTGTTATCAGTTGATAGATTATCAGTTTTTGCTGAACTGCAATCATCTGGATCAGGTTTGCTGAAGCTCAGAAACATCCAGAACATGCAGAGCAGGGTGCCTTCAGGACCAGGGTTTAAACGCTGCTCTAGGCTAACGGTGCCGGTACCGTTCAGAATGCCTTTAACGACCACAGGGAGGCGCGTGTGCTTCTTCAGCCAGCTGATGTCATCCCAGCTGAGCGCCGGCTCTATTGCGTTAGCCACATAAACCGCCAAGCCGCTGTCGTTACCGTAGTCGTCCTCAGAGAAGGAGAGGGAGGAAGAGGAGAAGTTGGACATCCTGGGAGCAGACAGACAAAACCGGGTCACACTTTGGTTCTGATGATCCCAGCAGAACCTCCTCAGCCTCCAGGTTTTGGTTCCTACCTTAAATGTGGGGGCATTTTGAAACGGTTGCGCACGTCATCCAGCCTCTTCCCCAGGTAGGGCGTATCCACGGTAACAAAGACCGCCTTGTATCCGGCCTCCTCGGCGCGGCGCACCAAGGACAGCGTGAGCTCCCGGTCCTTGTAGATGTACAGCTGCATCCACAGGACCCCCCCGCTGCCTGGTGCTGATGTCATCGCTGACATCACTTCCTCTATGCTGGAGGTGGCCCAGGAACTCAGCATCATTCCCGTCCCTACTGCTTTGCATGCTGGGAAGACAAATGATCAAATGTGGGTGAAGCTTTTTAGATGCAGAGTTTGTCCTAGACTAGAGTGGATGTTTTTAAACTTTTCTGGAATGACTGACAATCTTCCCCAGCTTGTTCTTCCCTGGCTCTGATTGGGCATCGTTCTGCTGCTGTTCCGTTCCTGGAACTGTTCCTGTTCCTCATCCTCAGTTCATTTATAAGATTTTATCATAAAATCCTCCTTTGGTGTCATCCCCCCCTTTCTCTTTATTTTTCTCTGCGCTCCAGACTTCTGGACACCTGATACTCTTAGTTTGCAGCAAAACCAACTTTAAAAGTTGCAGCTCGCTGTTGTTCTCGTCAAACCATTTTATGTTGGGTGGGGCGGGCTTATTTAAAGAAAACATATTAGATATACCTAATGCAGATATATATATTTTTATCAAATATTTTCTGAAAAACGACTTCTGCCTGTATTGTTAATGGTCAGAGTCAACCCCCCCATGGGCCTGTTGACCCGTCTGTCCCCCTCCTGACCGCATGGAGCAGGCTGAGTCAGTGCGCTGACCTCTAGCGGTGGCGGTCTCTCCTGCAGGATGAGCCATCCTCTGCATGGCGGTGGATCCGACGCAGAGCGGCATGCTGAGCCTCTGACCGAGCACAGAGACGGACAGGTCCACCACGGAAACGTCCCTCAGCACGCGCGGCACCAGATGCCACCTGAACACACAGCATGCACCCCCTGATAAACATTTACATCTAAACACCTCACCTTTTTCTTCAATTCACGAGGAAAGTGAGAGACTGTCAATGGAATAAAATAAACTTAAAAGAAAAAAAAATGCAGTCTTTTATTTCAAGTGCATAATATCTGATCATTTTATTTGAACGATAAAATGCTCATTCCATCGGTGGATCATCTCAAATTAAGGGTAAATACACTTTTAAGAAATGTTTACTCATTTTTTTTTGTGGTGCACCATCTGTTGTTTATAAAGTTCCACCAAAAAACGAGAAAAGCTGCAAATGTTAAATCAAAATTTTCCTTGTTTCCATATTTAGCTTATTGCTTTTTTTGAGAAAAATCCAGAAATGATGCACTGAAGAACCTTTGCTTATCATTTATTATATAGACACCTAGTAAAATGATTAATAGCTGGTGGAAAGCACAATGCAACAAAATGGAGACCAAAGCTGAAACATTTGCCGTTCAGAGAAACAGACAAAGATTAACAGGTAAATTAGTGGAAACAGAAAAAGCGGACTGGTTTCAGAACAACAGAAGGAACAGAATGAAAAAACACAAAGAAATAGGAGAGAAAGCATCAGAAGAATAAGAACAGACCCCAGGCTGGGAATTGAACCGGGGACCTTATGCTGTGAGGTAGAACTGCTATAAACTGGGCTCCTGCAGCCTGAACTCAACGGCAACAACCAGAGGAAGACGAAACTAAACTAACAAACTGGGATTCATCCACAATAGGCCTGTTTTCCAGTGTAGTCCTGTTTCTCTGACTGTGACTAACTGGATGTGCTCTCTTCATCCTCTGACATGGGAGCTGGCTCGGAGCTCGTCTGCCTGGCTGTGTGTTTCCTGGACGGGGCCGCCTGTGGAGCTGGTTGACAGTTGCCTTTTGTATCTATGCTTCTTTTTCTATGTCTGCTTCTGTCTCCTTGAACCCCAGTGGGCCTCAGCAGATGGCCGCTCACACTGAGCCTGGTTCTGCTGGAGGTTTCTTCCTGTTCAAAGGGAGTTTTTCCTCTCCACTGTCGCTACAAGCATGCTTAGTGTGAGGGATTGCTGAAGAGTCAATGAGCGGGAAAGACTGGGTTGGTTCTGTAGTGTCAGAGGACAGGTTGTGAATTGGAGCTATTGAAATAGATTGAACTGGATTCAGCCATCTTGGACCAGTGATGAATCAGAACTAAAGTGGAAAATGTTTCCAAACTTGAAGCTTTATTCCGGTTACGGGAATAAAGATTTACTGAAACGAGGATCTGTGGGATAAACTGGATTTCCTGAACTAAAGCATTTAAAGAGGCGGAGCCACCACTAACCCCCCCCGCCCCGCTCCTCCACATGGATGTTCTGGTTAACTGAAGCTCCTCTATGCAACAAACCAGATTCAGCAGAAATATTAGCCACTCCCACAGCCACCACAAGGGGGCGGGGTTAAGCCTTCATAGGGCAAGTTAGCATTTTTAATCACTTATGTTCCCCTTACAAATACAAAGTCCTCCCCTCGTCCCTCAGTGAGGTCTAGAAGCACAAGATCTATATCCATCCATTCAGCAAAGATGCTTCTACATGGCTCTACATCTGATTTTAGCATTTGACCAATTAGATGAGTCACTGAATGATAGATTACCTGCTGGAAATTAACCTGGGAAAAAAGAAAGAAAAAAGGGTAAAAAGCTAATTGAAAACTTCAAAAATAGAGAAAGTTAGAAAGTTAATTAGCCTAATAAACAATTCTATTTCGGTTTATAAACAAAAAAATATAAGTGCCCTATAAAGGGTTAAATGCAGAGGTAAATGTGAGATCAATAAAGTTGTTTTTCTTTTTTAATTATTGAAATAAACCGATTTCTCATTTAGTGATTTTTTCTCTCCTGGTTCTTTGTCAAACCCGGCAACTGGAGCCGCCGTTCTTCTGGTCTTTCTGGTTAACGGACCAGAAAGTAAAAAAAACTGTTTCCTCTGGATTCTGACGGACAGCTGGGTCATTTTTATTTCCCAGCATTTTGAGAACGTAGGATTCCCTGAGATCAGCGCAGCTGTAACGGGTTAAAGATCTAACGGTGAGCGGCTGCCGCTGCGTCTCGCTCCACCTTTGCCCTCCGGCTGCAGTTACCTGTTGAAGGCGGCCACATTGTCGGCCAGCGTGCTCTGGCCGTCGGCTCCTGAGCGGTAGTAGTCGTACACGGCTTTAGGAAGAACCCGCCTGGCTTCCTCCTCAAAGTCTGAGACACAGACGCGCTGCGCAGACATGGTTCCTGTGAGCCGCCGTCCGTCCGTCCGTCTGTCTGAGGATCTGCAGGCTGATCTAGAAACAAGCACAGCTCCTGTAATCATTAACCTCCATCGACCCTCAGGGGTCCGGCTGCTCGCAGCTCCACAGTTTACACAAGATTACGGCTGTGGATCAGCAGGGACTTCATTTCCTGTCGGTTGCCTGGATGTGAATCCTCGGCTGCAGATTAATTAATGAAGCAGTTTGGTCTGACAGACGTCCAGCAGAGACAAACACCTTTTATTTCACTTCTACGTTTATTTGGCATTCAACAGAATTCAATAAAAGGTTTAAGAATAGACACTTTTCACCGTCACCACAAACCAAATGTTTCCGAATAAAAAGGTAAAACAGGAAAGATTCAAAAAAGAGGGAAGTGGATTCCTACAGGAAGTTAGAGAGCGCAGCACAGACCGAAGGAAAATAACCAACGAAGAAGAAGTCTCTACCTGCTTCCATCAGCAGATCACCAAAAAAAACAAACAGTCGACACCAAAGATGTTTGAGTTTAATCCACAAAACGACGCTGAGTGGAGAAAAGGACTCCGTCTGACCCGGGCGCCACGCCGCCCCGCAACAGTTTGATTAGTGGTTCTCCCCTCAGCCGTGGGGGGGAGGTCCCACCCCCACAGGCCCCCTAAGGGGCCCCGTGTCTCTGAGGAAGAAGAGCAGAGAAAGAAGAGATGCCCCCGTCCGTGTGAGGCTGACCCCGGTCAGGTCCCCCCCTGCTGCTGCACCCCCGCCCTCAGAGAAACCTCCGCTGGAAGCGTTTATGGGAAACAAGGTAGAGTGAGCTCTGCAGGTGGAGGGAAGGTGTTTCCAAGAGGAGGGTTAGGAGGCCTTTCCCCTCCTCACCCCCTCCCCCCTGGCGGCGGTGTTTTGCCCGCCCTCGCCCCTGAAAGGCGGGGGGGGTCAGCAGGCTCACTAAGCGTTGCGTTAGCCTGAACGCCGGTGGTTGCAGGGGAATGTGGTGCAGCGATGCCGCGAGGCCGCTGCCCCGGTTTGGATGCCCGGGTGCTAAGGAGGGCGGCGAAGGCTCCGCCTCCCATTTTCCTCCCCCTCGGGTGGCCCGGTGCTGCTGTTCCGACTCCCCAGTCCCTGAGGACTCTGGTGGATCTCCAAGCCTTGGCTGGACCATAGACAGGAAGTAGCATGGTGCTCACACCCAGGCCGTCCAGCCCTCGTACAGCTGGGCCAGGTTGTCCATGTTGGTAGCCTCTCTGATGACGAAGTCCACCTGAAAGCACAGGATGAGGTCAGCTTCCTCCGCAGCGTTTTAACGCCTGAACACACCGGCTGGTACGACTCTTTAAAGGAAAAGTCGCTCATATTCAGAATCCAAACTTCTTAAAGTTCTTTAAATCTGAAATGATTCCATCCTGTTCAATAAATGATCAGTGTTTTTAATTCAGAGTCATTTTATGTGAATGTGCTTTACTGGAGGCATCCATGTTTGTCAAAGAACACTACTGCCACCTACTGGTTAGTGACATTGTCACGGTGCGGTAACGGCTGTCGATCAAGTCCCAGTGCTGTATCTGGTGTTTGTCAATTTTGAAGCATGGTCTGTGCGCTGTTATTCCACGCCACAACGCCAGAGGGCCAATCAGGAACTAGCTAGGACTGTGGGTGTCCGTGTGTCAGTTTGACGAGCTTGTTCACCGTCTACAACCCCTCATCCAACGCCGGACGACACACAGTTCCCCCGTGAGTGTTCCCCAAAGACTGACCGTGGCGCCGCATGTTTTGGCTTCAGGTGCAAACCAACAGACCGTCGCACAGAGCTACAAACTAGCGTCCTGCAAAGTGATAGTGTCCAGAGTTTCTGCCATTAGGTACCAAATAGCAAATACTCATAGCGTAAAGCGGATGTAGAATTGACTAATCAGAGGCCTCCTGTCTGCAGTCACCTACAATATGGGAGAGGTTCAGCAGAGTGTCTGCAGAAGGACGCACACAGACAACCTGGTTTCTGAGCATAAACCAGACTTCAGAGGTGGAATAACTCTTTATTTCACTTTTACCCGATGTATTCCAGCATCCAGCTGCCATGCACGTGGGCATTGTCAGTTTCACTATAGCTCTGGTGAATTTCAATGGTGAAGTCCTCTGGAAATCTTCAATAATTGTTGTTGATTGCAGATGTGTCTAGTAGTTCCCATTGATTTAGCTTGGAAAGCGGGGAGAATGGCGCTAGGCTTACCGCACCGTGACGTCACTGCTGGAAGATGGCAGGAGGGAGGGGCTACTATATTTGGGCAAAAATGGCCGCTCCCAGACTCAGTGATCACGACGAAAATTTATTTTTTTACTGATTAATGCTAAATTCATTAAATCATAGCGAATGTTGTGTAGGTATAAATAATGATCGATTGATTATTAATCGCTGAACACTTTTCCTTTAATCTGCGATCATTTTCTCTCCATGTCCCACTGACTGCGTATAGAGAGGCTCCCACTAGGCAGGATGAGGTTTTCCTTCCATCTCTGTGCTTTACACACATTGAAACTGTTTTTCACATTTAACTTGGACAGATAATTAAAAGTTATTAATAAAAGAAATAAAAAAAATCCACCTGTGCATTCTATGAACCAACGCTCTACATAACGAGTCTGTTTAGCATCTAGAACCAGAACAGATAGAGAATGTTTATCTATTAGAAACATAATGAGATCTACGTCTAAAGAAAAGCAAATCGCAGCATTAAACTCTGTGGGACGGTTTCCATGGTGACAGAGAGGTGATTCTCAGAGAGATCTGGGAAGTTTATCTTTCCTAAAGAGGTGAGAGAGATCCTGCTCTGTCTGCTCCTCCTGATTCTGGAGGATCTCTACTTTATCCGTTTCTATCCTCCTGAACTCCCATCATGGGGAAAGTTTCTATTTTAATGTTTTTGCTCCAGTCTGTCCTGCTAACTATAAACGCGATGTGTGACCCAAACTGACTCTTTCTCCGTGAGATTAACAGATTTTATGTTTTATTTTCCTCCAAATCGGATTTGTTTTACTCTATAACCTCGTCTCTCTTCCTGTCAGACCCATGAAATTGCTGCTGAATTGCTGCTTTGTCTGACTAAAACAGACCTGGGCTCTATCTCAGTGGTATTGGGTGTGTTCAGGGCTTTAGTCTAAAACCTGGAGTTAAGCCTGGTTTAACTCGTAGATCCCACCTGCTCAGTGACGCTCATCCTCCTGCTGGGATCGATGTCTCTGCCCTCCAGCTTGGCTTTCACTCTCTTCCACACGCTCACCGCATACGAGTTCCTCTCCTGCACAGCTGCAACACAGATAGGAGGCGTTTCAGAACCTCTCAGAGGAGGCGGAGCTACGGGCAGCAGAGCGGCGGTTGGTACCTCGGCCTGTTTTGGGGTCCCGTACGGCCCTCTTTGGACTCGGGTTGAGGCCTTTGCTGCTCATCAGCAGGTTGCTGGGCGGGGTGTCCGTGGGCGTTCCCAGGTTACGAGGCAGCACTCTGCGTGCATTCTGGGACATCGAGTCCTGCTGCGTCTTGGCTGCACTGCATCGGACGGCTGAAACCAAACACAGAGCTTTAGGAACTAAACCCGACCTAAACCTGAGCTCCTCAGAACTAAGGAAGAACATCGGAACTCAAAGCAAAGCAGAACAGGAGCCGCAACTGCTCAGACCAATCATCTCCTTTCTGATAAAGCTTCTAGTTAGAGTGGCTCAGGTTATCCTGATCTATCTCTATAGTTCTGCTGCTATAGGCTTAGACTGCTGGAGGACATAGGGACCCCTTTTTCATCATTCTGCTTCATTCTATCTCTATTCTCCCACTCTGCAGAATCTGTTAGTTCAATCTCTAACATTCTGCTCTCTCTGCTTTTTCTCATAGTAGCTTCATCTGGTCTGTTCCTGTTTGGCTGTGACTCCATCCTGGAGAGAAATATCAGCTGTGCTGCTGCCATCAACACCTTTGTTTCTAGATGCTGGAGCTTGGCCTGTTTTCCAGTGTAGTCCTGTTTCTCTGACTGTGACTAACTGGATGTGCTCTCTTCATCCTCTGACATGGGAGCTGGCTCGGAGCTCGTCTGCCTGGCTGTGTGTTTCCTGGACGGGGCCGCCTGTGGAGCTGGTTGACAGTTGCCTTTTGTATCTATGCTTCTTTTTCTATGTCTGCTTCTGTCTCCTTGAACCCCAGTGGGCCTCAGCAGATGGCCGCTCACACTGAGCCTGGTTCTGCTGGAGGTTTCTTCCTGTTCAAAGGGAGTTTTTCCTCTCCACTGTCGCTACAAGCATGCTTAGTGTGAGGGATTGCTGAAGAGTCAATGAGTCGATGCAATCAGCTGGTTTTCCTTAGATAGAAAACTTTGAATCAATCTGACTGGATGATCTGGTGAACTGGAAAGTGACCTGAGATGACATGATGTGAATTGGAGCTATAGAAATAAACTGAATAGAATCTGCTTGGAGATTAATGCGTCCAATCAGAGGGTCTGAACCATCAGAAGAAGCAGAGTCCAGTTGATGTGAGCTTCCTCCTGCATAAAGCTGCTGTGTGGCTGCTTCATACCTGCAGCGAAGCTGGTCTGAGCTGAAGACACGGGGCTGGAGCACTCGGCCTCTCGGTCCGTCACCAGCGGGGAGGCGAAGCCCACCAGGCCGTTATAAACGCTGCGAGGGACAGAGAGACGTGGGTCAGAGGCGGGTGGCCTGGGAGCAGGCGGCTGAGGAGCGGAGCAGGGTTCTACCTCTGGCTCTGGGCGTGCAGCTCCTTCAGGGTAGCGGGGATCTCCTCCAGCAGGTCCAGCTGCTCCTGGCTGCGGTGCTGCCCACTGGCCTGGACCACCGTGAACAACACCAGCTGGACGTTGTCCTGCCAGGCTTTGTACTCCAGCAGGTAGTGGCGGACGCTGCCTTCGTACGCCACCTCCTCTCCGTCTGCCAGCGCCGCTTCCTCATCCTGGAAAACAGGAAAGCCATTTAAGCTTTAAGCTAAAAACAGGTTGGCCCTGAAGAAGTTCTACAGCTTTCCGTCTCCCTCCAGTGAAGGAGTGAGTTCAAAGGTCGCGTCCACAGCGGCTACCTTGGCCATGGCTTTCAGCAGATGCTTGACGTCGGCCAGCTGGCGGTTGTGGTTGGAGAGGATGGTCTTGATGGAGTCGATCAGCAGCTGCAGCGTCTCTCCGCAGGCCTCCAGCTGCTGCTCCCGCTCCTCCTGCTTCCTCCGCTCCACACTCAGCTCCTCCTCCAGCTGCCTCTGGGCACAGCTCAGCCAATCGGGGGTTCCGATGGGCAGGTCCACCGTCGGACCCTGCGGAGACGCAGGACAAACAGAAAGGGACCGTTTTCAGGCGGCGAAGGAGGAAGGGGCGTGGCCTGCTGAAGGAGAACAACCCACCAGTCTGTGGAGAAGCTGCAGCTCCAGAGGAGAAACTGTGCTGCTGAACTGGGAGGCGTAGGAGCAGGTCTGCTGGCAGCGCTTCAGCAGCTCAAACAGCGCCGTGTCCATGCTGAGCGCCTCAGGCGAGCGCGTCCGCAGGCCCTCAAAGTTCAGGATGGTGGAGCACAGGAAGGTGACCTTCAGAAACAAGTCCGGGTTAGATTCACCTGTTTTCTGCTCTTTAAAAAGCAGCAGAGGACGGAAGCTAGCGGAGCGCTAACGGAGCCGTGGTTCCCTCCTTCATACAGACAGCTCATCGTTAGCCTCATGATTAGCCGCGGTGCTAATCAGCCATGTTTGATAGAAACATCAGCGTAAACTTTTCTACATGGTTAATTTCTCTAAACTAATTCATCCACAGCGGGTCTATAATGAAGAATTAAAGTCCTTAGAATATAAATACATTTTATAAATGCTGACGGGTTCAAAACATAGAAATATTTTTTTAGTGCTACCATGCCAACAGGATTCTGCACAGTAGGTTGAAGTTGTGTGAGAAGAAGCTGAGAAACGACGTCTTCTTTTTGAGAGAAAATCTGGATTTTTAGAACGTTGGAGTCGATTGAAGGAAGCAGAGGAGCTCAGAGGCAGAGGAAGCCTCTTTTCTTCTGTTTTCTGATCAACTGTTTGATTAGCACTAGCACATCTGGCACCATATGTCTGAGAGCGCCACCTACAGGCAGGGAGGAGTTAAAACCAGGGTTTATACAGGAATGATTAACTCTTATTTAATGCTTTTTAATGCTCTTAGAAATAATTTTAATGCCATCAACAAGTATCCATGACTCTCATTTATTTATATATACACACACACGGAAGAGCTATATGTGTATATATTTTCTCTTTTTATCTTTATTATATTGTGTAGTTAGATGTGTGTATATATTATCTAAAACTGTAACTGGAGCGTGTAACAAAAGTAATTTCCCTCTGGGATTATTGAAGTATTTCTGATTCTGTTATCTGTACCGTTGACAGGCTGCAGCCATGTCTGGAATTCCTCGTTTTCTCATTTTTGGTAAAATTTGCATTTTCCGATTCTCTAACTTTTTCTCCACCTTGAGCTTTTTTCTCTAAACATACGGCTTTACGATCAACCAGAAGCAGTTCTGCGCAAATATATTGCGATAATATATCTGGCGAAATCATTTTTAGAATTGTATTTTTTTTTAAATAAAGCATTTTAAAAGCCATGATAATGACATTCAATCCATTTCAATCAGGGTTCCTGCAGCATAAGGAAAGTTTAAGACTTTTAAGTCTTTTTAATGCCACTTAAAATAAAAATTTACGACCACTTTGACAATAAACACAAGAAAAACCTGGAAGTGACAAATTTACACCAGATGTTTATTTTCTGGCCCAGTTGATATGTTTCCAATTTTTAACAACTTTCCAAATAGGAAGAAACACAAATAACAGATATATGTTTAAGAACTTCTGAACTGAATTAACAAACTTGTTTTTTTCCGTACTCAATCCCTTCGCTTTCTTAGTCGGCCTACCATCAAACATTATCCGGAGATGTGGTTCTACTGGTGCTGTTGTTGATGTGAGAGATGAATGTGGAGGCGTAGCAGAGACAAGCGTGGAACAGAACGGAGAAAAACACGCTGTTTCTCCATTACTTCAGTTTGATGCTTTGAGTTTCCCGCTTCACACATGTGACTCCACTGCCTTGATTCGCGTCGTGCCTCATCTACATTCCCTGGCAGTGGTTTTAGAAATGCAGAAAACTCTTGGATTGCCTATTTAAAACTTCCCCATCTTCTCCAGATAAAAAGTTACTGGCGCATCATCCCAAGGTCCGACTGCAACATCGTTTTTATACGGTAGCGCTATCGAGAAGGAACCGATAATGGTTACAGCGAGCAGTTCAGTAAATCTAAGAAAAATATTGTCAATTATTTTATTGTTTGATATGGATTACAAAATACAATCCTATTTATGATGTGGTAACAATTTTAAAACCTATGAAAGACTGATTTAAGACATTACCAGGGTTCTTGATTTGCAAGAACCCTGTTAATGTCAGACCTTATTTAAAAAAGAATATTTTAATGATTTTTAATGATTAGTAATGACCCGCGGAAACATTGCTTACGCCAAGTTCGAATTCAGGGGCTGCGTCCTCTGAACGCCAGATTCATCTACCGATTACGTAGCGCAGCGCCGCGGTCTGTCCGGATCGGAAGAATGGCATCCACTCTTTTCCTGCTTTGTCTGTCAACTGTCATGGTTGCTAGGCGACAGAGTGAACAGCAGTGAAAGCTGGAGAATGCTGGACCCGTTTGAACCCACAGCCAAACTCTTCTGGCCTCCTTATTTTCACTGTGTTCGATTTCAGAGGCTGCATCCTCCAAGGACCCGGTC